CTGACTGCGACATGGACCATTCCTTGGTCAGCAGTAAGGTGCGTTTTCAACTTAGATGAGCCCACCACTCGAAGCAGAAGGGCCACCCTCGCATTAACACGGCAAGAACATCAGTGCCAGAGTGGCAGGAATGTTTCGCCAGGGCCGTGTAAAAGGTCGCCTCAGACACCTTTGGGAAAAAGGTGAAAAGGAGTGTAGATTGGTTTGTGTCAGGGATTGAGGTGCTGAAGCCTGTCATCACTGCGAAACGTACCATTCTCCTAAAGCACAAGAGACAGCCTTCTGCAAGGACGTTGGTTGCCCTCAGAGAGGCACGTAATAACACAAAGAGGATTGCCCGAAAGTGTACTGGCTGAAGTTGTGTCGCGATATCCAGACTTCGGCAGACTGTGGTAATTTCCGAGCCATGTATGAAGGCATGAAGAAAGTGTTTGGTCCCAATGCCATCAAGACTGCTCCCCTAAAATCTAATTCCGGCGAGATCATCACAGATCGCCGAAAGCAGTTGGAGAGATGGTTTGAGCAATACCAGGAACTGAGAGAGAACATTGTTGCTGACACAGCCATTCGAAATAGCATGCCTCTGCCCATCATGGAGGAGCTTGACTCGCCACCCACCATCGAGGAACTTGGGAAGGCCATCGATTCACTGGCCTGTGGGAAAGCACCAGGCAGTATTGGAATTCCACCAGAGATAATCAAGGCAGAGAAGGGGAGCTTTCTTTTTGGCCATCTTCACAACCTCCTGCTTAAATGCTGGGAAGAAGGGCATCATACCTCAAGACATGCGAGACGCTAAGATCCTGATGCTTTATAAGAACAAGGGCGATCGCAGTGACTGCAATAACTATCGTGGGATCTCCCTCCTCAGTGTTGTCGGGAAAGCCTTTGCACGTGTTATCCGGTTAAGCCTACAACTGCTCGCCGATCGTGTGAACCCGGAGTCGCAATGTGGGTTCCAAGCAAATCGGTCAACAACTGGACATGGTGTTCACCTTTACGCAGCTACAGGAGAAGTGCCGTGAGCAGAATCGTCCTCTGTCCCTTGCCTTCATAGACCTGACCAAGGTGTTCTTCATGGTCAGTCGGGCTGGCCTCTCCACTCTCCTACACAGGATTGGATGCCCACCCAAGCTCTTGAAGTTGATTATATCATTTCGTGAGAATATGATGGGCACATTCCAGTATGGCGAGTCATCCTCAGACCCTTTTCTAATCAAGTGCAGTGTGAAGCAGGGGTGTGTTCTGGTGCCAACCCTTTTTGGCCTGTTCTTCTCCCTGCTCCTGCGCTATACCTTCTGCAACTCTGAAGACGGGATCTTCCTCCATACTAGGAGTGACAGGAACCTTTTCAACCTTGCCCTCCTCAGAGCAAAGACTAAGGTCCGCAGGGTACTCATACGGGAGATGCTGTTTGCAGATGATGCTGCTCTTGCTCCACACACTGAGGGTGCCCTCCGGAGACTTATCACTTTTGGCCTTGCCATCAGTATCAAGAAAACCAAAATAATGGTGCAAGATGTCAACACCACTCCTGAAATCACTATCAGCGACCACACCCTGGAGGTAGTGGAGAATTTCACATACCTTGGCTCCACCATCTGCAGTAACCTATCCTTGGATACTGAGCTCAATATAAGGATAGGCAAAGCAGCCACCGCCATGGCTCGACTAGCAAAGAGGGCTTGGGATAACACTCTATTGACACTCAAAACAAAACTGAAGGTGTACCAGGCATGCGTCTTGAGCACCCTACTCTATGGCAGTGAAGCTTGAACTCTATATTCTCACCAAGAGCAAAGACGGAATGCCTTCCATATGCGCTGCCTCAGACGACTCCTGAGCATCACCTGGCAGGATCGTATCACAAACATAGCCATCCTGGCCTAGGCAGGTATGCCAAGTATGTTCACCATCCTTACACAGAGGTGACTGCGCTGGCTTGGTCACCTGTGCAGGATGGATGACGGTCGTATCCCAAAGGACGTTCTGTACGGGGAGCTTGCCAAAGGAATACGACCATCTGGACTGCAAACCCTGCGCTATAAGGACGCCTGCAAGCGAGACTTGAAAACGTTCAGCATCTGTCCGAGAAGCAGTGACATTGGGCCGTGAAAATTGGCGACCCACCATTAACACTGGTGTCCTTTTAGCCGAAGAAAAAAGAGCAATGCAGTGGGAGGAGAAGAGGACTCGCCGGCAGCAAAGCGTTCAGCCTGTTCCCATTGACATCACCACTGCTTATACCTGTAGCAAGTGTCAGCAGTGCTGTCGCTCCCGTGTCGGACTCTACAGTCATAGTAGAGTCTGCAACTAAACCACAGACTGACCTGGGTGCAGATTCTAAACCATTGTCTCTCAAAGACAGAAGGATGCCAACAACCAACTAGAAATACATTTCTACTCGGCTTGACTTGGAATGAAACTGCAAATAAAGATGTAGCGAGTTTGTTTTCAGTAGAAAAACTTGCTATAATATTTTGTCTTTATTTTCCCCTTAAAACATAATCATAATTTGATAAACTTACAGTATGACAAAATTTTAATATTGTTTTACACTGTATTAATGGCTATTCACATTCTCCTCTGTATAACACTTGTGCTTTTGTTAATGGTTTTATATTGTGTAGTGTGGTTTGCTGATTGCTGATGCGGTTGCATATGCATTAACTGTTAATGATGTTTAATGCATCTTTGTTTGGTGTTTCTGGAGTTAATTCAGGCTATAAAAGAAGCAGAGCAGCTCATAAACACCATCATCTCCTGACGAGCAGCGTCTTCAGTCTTCAGTCTGATTCCCGGTAAGATCATGTCGTCTCATGTGGGAATTATTGTGTTCTTGTGTTTCTGCCTTTACTCAAACGTTAGCACATGTTGTTCAGCTTGTTGACTTGCTAGTGTGCTTGATTATGTGGAGAAGAAACTAAAGAAATAAGGTGGAATTGTTTAAAGCAGGTTTGGAAGTTTTCTTTAAGGTTCTGCCGGATCCAGTTTCCATTTCAGGTTCTTGATATTCATTTGATGATGATCGTAAACTTCATCATCTGTCTTCCCATGTGTCTTTTCTGGACATACTTACTATATTTAAATGATACTGTACTGAGTGCGTATTAAATGTATTATTTTGAAACAACTTTTCAAGGTATGCTTAAGATCAATTGTAAGCTATTTGTTATATTTTAATATATTGAATTGTGCTAAAATGGAACCGCTTCTAGTACATTTAGTGTATTTAAGTGTATTTATTTACAGTTCACTTAAATTATACATTCATTAGAAAAATGTTATTATAAAGCTGTTTTACATTTCATTTCATTTATTTATTTATTTCAACAGGGACAATGTGCAAAAAAACATTAATTAAAGATGCTTTGCACCAGATTTAGCTTAAGCTAGTTTCCATCTGTAGTCCCCGAGCAGGTGAATTACAATACAAAAAATACAATATAAAATGTTATAATTAGTCACTCAAATACAACTATCTATCAATTCATTCATTCATCATTCTCTATTTCAACCATCAATAAAACCTCACTAAAAGTCATATTTACATACATAATTATCTATGCTGGCACAACTGGTTGTTCAATAGTACTTTCCTTATATTGATAGAAAAATCCTTCAGGTTAAAAGTGAGTTTTAGAGCCTTTGGGAGTTTGTTCCATTCTTTAATGCCCTTGAATGAGAAGGCTGATAAAACATAAAACATTATAATAAAGATCAGTGAAATGCTATAACAGAGCTATATTTATTAAATAATTGTAGAACATTTCAGTTACACCTGTATTAGTAAAAAGTGCACTATGAATATTACATCACTTAATAAATAAGCATCACAAAGCAATTTTGTGCTAAACTAGAGATAAGTTAGGGGTCGCAGGAATGGGTGTTTCATGACAATGTGTCAGTCATCATGTGATACTGTAAATATGACTAGCCTAGACTACTTGTTCTGAGCAGGTGTTGTCAGTGAACAGGCTCTAAAACTGTTGGCTAATTTACAGACACTCGTGAAAAACTGATGATAATTATCTGGGAAACATTCTCTAACCGCAGTCAAGTTGTGATTGTTTGTGTCAGTCAAGTTGTGAGTTAGTTGTAAGATTAAAACAGGAGATGATGAGAGACTCAGTGCTTTCCTTTGTGCGGGAAAGAAACTATCGGGAGATGTTGTAGCAGAATCACAGGAACAATTCCAGGATATACTTTATTTTCATTGGTTGTTGCGTTAAATCTTACCCAGATACAATAGTGCTATTTTCTGATTGGCTATTGTGCAGCCCTCTCTTTCTTTGATTGGCTAAATGTGTTCGAGTAAGAACTCCAAGGGAGATGCGCTTGATATGAGATTAAAACTAAGATGTTGATGTTGATTAATGTTGATTATGAAACTACCATACCATACCATATTCTTCCGCTCATCCGGGGCCGGTTCGCGGGGGCAGCAGTCCAAGCAGAGATGCCCAGACTTCCCTCTCCCTAGACACTTCCTCTAGCTCTTCTGGGGGGACACCGAGGCGTTCCCAGGCCAGCCAGGAGACATAGTCTCTCCAGCGTGTCCTAGGTCTTCCCTGGGGCCTCCGCCCAGTGGGACGTGCCCGGAACACCTCCCCAGGAAGGCGTCCAGGAGGCATCCGGAACAGATGCCCGAGCCACCTCAGCTGACCCCTCTCGATGTGGAGGAGCAGCGGCTCTACTCTGAGCTCCTCCCGAGTGACCGAGCTTCTCACCCTATCTCTAAGGGATCGCCCAACCACCCTGCGGAGAAAGCTCATTTCTGCCGCCTGTATCCGGGATCTTGTCCTTTTGGTCATGACCCAAAGCTCATGACCATAGGTGAGAGTAGGAACGTAGATTGACCGGTAAATCGAGAGCTTTGCCTTACGGCTCAGCTCCTTCTTCACCACAACAGACCGGTACATCGACCGCATTACAGCTGAAGCTGCCCCGATCCGCCTGTCAATCTCCCGTTCCATCCTACCCCCGCTCGTGAATAAAACCCCAAGATACTTAAACTCCTCCACTTGAGGAAGGATCTCTGCACCAACCTGAAGTGAGCAAGCCACCCTTTACCGGCTGAGGACCATGGCCTCGGATTTGGAGGTGCTGATTTTCATCCCAGCCGCTTCACACTCGGCTGCAAACTGTCCCAGTGCATACTGAAGGTCCTGGTGTGAAGGGGCCAACACGACAACATCATCCGCAAAGAGCAGAGACGAAATCGTGTGGTCCCCAAACCTGACACCCTCAGAAATTCTGTCCATAAAAATTATGAACAGAACCGGCGACAAAGGGCAGCCCTGCCGGAGTCCAACATGCACCGGGAAGAAGTCTGACTTACTACCGGCAATGCGAAGCAAGCTCCTGCTTCGGTCATACAGAGACCGGACAGCCCTTAGCAAAGGACCCCGGACCCCATATTCCCGGAGCACCCTCCACAGGCCGCCTTGGGGGACACAGTCGAATGCCTTCTCCATATCCACAAAACACATGTGGACTGGTTGGGCAAACTCCCATGAACCCTCCAGCACCCTGTAGAGAGTATAGACTTGGTCCAGTGTTCCACGGCCCGGACGAAAACCGCACTGTTCCTCCTGAATCCGAGGTTCCACTATCGGCCGCATTCTCCTCTACAGTACCCTGGCATAGACTTTCCCAGGGAGGCTGAGAAGTGTGATCCCCCTATAGTTGGAACACCCTCCGGTCCCCCTTCTTAAAAAGAGGAACCACCACCCCGGTCTGCCATCCCAGAGGCACAGTCCCCGACCACCACGCAATGCTGCAGAGGCATGTCAACCAAGACAGCCCCACAACATCCAGAGACTTGAGGTATTCGGGGCGGATCTCATCCACCCCCGGTGCCATGCCACCGAGAAGTTTCTTGACTACCTCAGTGACTTCAGCTAGGGTGATGGACGAGTCCACCCCTGAGCCCTCAACCTCTGCTTCCTCAATGGAAGACGTGACGGCGGGATTGAGGAGGTCCTCGAAGTAATACCCAGTCGAGGTCAACAGCCACCCACCCCTACTGTAAACAGCATTGGTAGGGGACTGTTTACCTCTCCTGAGGCGCCGGACAGTTTGCCAGAATCTCTTCGAGGCCAGCCGATTCAGTCCTTCTCCATGGTCTCACCGAACTCCTCCCAGGCCCGAGTTTTTGCCTCCACGACCACCCGGGCCACAGTCCGCTTGGCCTGCCGGTACCTGTCAGCTGCCTCCGGAGTCCCACGAGCCAACCAGGTCCGATAGGACTCCTTCTTCAGCTTGACGACATCCTTTACTTCCGGTGTCCACCACCGGGTTCGAGGATTGCCGCCTCGACAGGTACCGGAGACCTTACGGCCACAGCGCCGAGCAGCCGCTTCGACAATGGAGGTGGAGAACATGGTCCACTCAGACTCAATAGAATCAAAAAACACTCAGACTGAGTGTTACGGCCTTTGGCCTGTTTTTGGTCGTTCCCCTGCTCCTCCTCTCTTTCAGGCTTAATTGCTAACACCTGGGAAGATGGTGTTTTAAATGGGAGCTTCTCCGCTGTATGGCGGGCTTCTTCCTCATCTGGTGGCTGAAGACTCCGACGCTGCTCGGCTAGCTGCTTCAGGCTTAGACCTCGCTCGATACGCCAGGATTTCACAGAGATGCACCTTTAAGTTTATCTGAGTTGATGTCTTTTATTTTTACATCCAACATCTGCACACATACACACCTACAACACATCCCAGCACTTACTTTACACTGCTGATGCTGACATTCATATCCCATGATTAATTACGTTGTTTGTATTTGCGTTCGATACACAATAAATTTATGTTTGGCACAATTTGTTTATGGCATGGTCTCCCATTGATTGTTATGGCCTGGAGTCAGTCATAACACTGAGCCCGGCCGGACCCCGTGGGGAGAGACCCGGCCACCAGGCGCTCGCATACGAGCCCCAACCCCGGGCCTGGCTCCAGGGTGGGGTCCCGGCTGCGCCATACCGGGCGACGTCACGGTCCTTGAATATAATTCTGCCATTAGGGGTTTTTGAACCGCTCTTAGTCTGACCCGTCGCCTAGGACCTGTTTGCCTTGGGAGACCCTACCAGGGGCATATAGCCCTGGACAACATAGCTCCTAGGGTCATTCGGGTACTCAAACCCCTCCACTATGTTAAGGTGGCAGTTCAAGGAGGGGGAATTATGAAACTAGTTTCCTTTAAAGTGCACCTTTTATAGACCATTTCACAAGATGTAAACAACACTGGTCCAGAAGCACTTCCTGTTTCAGTTTGTAACAGTTTTCTTTATTTCACATGTAAAGAAAACATCTTAAAGATGTTTGTTTAACTTTTTGATTCAGTTTTAAATGTTCTGTTGGTTGTATTTTATCCCAGCTTTTATGTAGTGTTAAAAAACTGAAACAGGAAGTGCTTCTGGACCAGTGTTGTTTACATCTTGTGAAATGGTCTATACCCCTTTTTACAAGATGTAATATTGGTCTGTATATACACAGACATCCTACGACGACAACTTTAGACGCATTTGGCTGACAACAACTGAAATGACTATTTGCTCAAAAATCATAAAACATCACTGTGTTTTCCACTGTGTTTTCAGTGGCTCTGATGTCGGAAATAAGTGAAAACTACTATGTATGTCATTATAACATCCCATCCCACAACAAAACACTTATGATTCTAGGAGACATTACCGGCTGTCGTTGAAACAATGGAGGATGGTGTACAGATCACCGAGGGCGGGGTCTATGCCACAACCACACTGTCATGCAAACCCCTTGCGCAATTCTACGTCACAAAGAGCTGAATCTTAGAACAGCTCGTTCTGAGACAGTGCCTATGATTTATTGAGATTGTAAAAAAAACACTGAGGCCACGTTTACACAAAGCCGGGTATTTAGCAAAACGAAAGTTTTCCCCCTCTCCATAAATACGCCGTCGAGCGCCATCATATCTATGCCAAACCTATTGGCGGCAGTGTAGGGGTTAAGGATAAAGCCATGCAAGCCATTCAGAATCCTCAGAATCGACAAGAGAAAACCTAAAATGCCGTTTCTCCCAGTTCACACGACAACACATAACCGGCGTTTTCAGACATCTCCACTTAGGCCGGAGTTTTTAGAAATAATCGTTTTCTGTGATAAAAAGGGGGTTTTCGTGTAAATGAGAGGCCAATCCGCAGGGAAATATCTGCGTTTTCCTGTCGTGTAAACGGGGCATGAGTGGATTTTTATCATTCTAGGGTGGTTTTGCTCACACACTGCCAACACACATTTATGTTCAAACACCATGTAAAAGTGAATTTTGCATAATAGGTGTCCTTTAATGAACATTGTGTGTGATTTCCGTCAGTCAGCTACACAGATTTACATTTCTGACAGAAACAGAGCAGCAGAAGAACCAATATTTTAGAGAGATCAGAGAATTTGTGCTTTCTCTCGCCATCATTCATGGGTTTCTTCTTTTCCTGAGGATATGAATAAACGCTAGTGAACTTTAAGAGTGAAAGCAGCGTCAGATATAAAGCATTTTCACATTACTTCAGTCGTCGTAGTTGAGCCCAACCATTAGTGAAAGTTAGACTGGTTTTTCACTCTATCATTGTTGGTTCATCGTGTGTTTAAGGTCATTCCAGTTTCACACGTTGGGTCAAATAGTGTGTGTGTAATCTCAGGCATTTCCTCCGTTAGATCAACAAGCTTTAAGATGTGTGTTTCTCCAGTGTGTGCAGTGAATGAAGAGCTCTTTAAACACGGCAGTGGAAACTTGTGAAACATCTGTCAGTCTGTGTGTTATTCCACAAACTTCTGCTTTGACCTGCAGACCAAACACACACTCCTGTCAGTAACGTAAGTTCTTCAAGATTTATTCCTCCTTTAATAAACCATTGTACACTTGCAGCTGTGCTGGACTGAATATTCACAACAACAGCATTCTTGCTTCTGTCATATTGTTCAAATGGAGGATTTACAAACTTTAATCTGACATTTCACGTATTTCAAGCTTTCTAACATTACACACACTCCTCTAAACAACATGTCAAGCAAACTGAGCAAACTTTCAACAATCACACAGAAAACAACTTATGTGTTATTATTATATATTATTGAGTTATTATTTACACATTATTTTCCCTGTTGGTTTTAATAAGGATAAATATATGATTACAATAGTAAATGAAAGCATGTTTTTAAACTAATGACTGGTTTGTTATTTAGTGCCTGTGAAGACAATGGGACAAAACACCAGCATCAGCGGATCAGGTGGAGGAGGTTATAATATCAGCAGATCTAGAGGAGGTTATGATGAATGGATCCATCAGATGGATGAGTTTCTCAGTAAACTTGAGTCTGCAAAACCAGTAATTTTCTGGACCATTGCCGCTATTGAGATTCCAGTCATGATCGTAACTCTGTGTGCGTTGTGTGCTCTTCTCAAATCTCAGCGCTCCACTCCAGTGTTTGTTATTCATTTGATTCTGTCAGATCTCATTCAGATCATTTGTATATTAACATGGACAGTCACAGGGTCAGGGGATGCAGATAATGCATATTATTACAGTTTGATTGTGGGTCTGTATTTTATGGCATGTGTTGCTCTTGAACGATATCTTCTGGTTTCTCATCCTATCTGGTACAGATCTCATCATTCACTGAAAGTCTGCTGTGTTATTTCTGTGATCGTCTGGTTTGTTCCTCTGATCTTTGCAGACTTTAACTTTGATTATCTGTTTAGACGTTTGTCCCGATCGATCGCCTTTTTAATCCCCTACCCGATAATCATTCTGTGTTTTATCGGCACTTGTCGCGGTCTTTCACGCACAATATCTCTTACTTCTGTAAAGCGCAAAAAGATTTTGGGCAGTTTGTTCCTGGTGCTTCTGACTTACACTTTTCTCGTTCTCCCCAACACAATCACGATGATTATATATGAGTTTTTTCCCATGGAGTATGTATTGTATGTTATATTATGGCATTTGTTTGAATGTCTCCTGTTCCTGAACCCACTGGCTGACTGTGTCCTGTACATGTTCATCAGGCCTGATGTCGGAGGGTTAATGAAGTCTGTTCACTGCTGTTGTAGAACTGACACACATCAGGATTCGACACACACACGGGACGAACACTCTGGAGTCAGTAGTGCAGCGTTTGCCTGCTGTGTTTCAGTGCTAAAGCCTGTGTCTCATTCACGGACCTGCACTTCAGTTTCAACATCATGAAGTCAATGCCATTCTGTTCACTCACACACCCGTCCTTTCTATGGCATTCAGCTTTATTAGAGACAACTCTTGATTCATCAATTGCTCATAAAACACATGCGGTGAACAGAGTTTTATTAAAGATGTGTTGATGTAGTGTTGATGCTTCTGCTGGCGTTCTGGATCAGCAGGACTTTATCATACGATGGAGAGGAGGGTTGTATAAAGCACGGTTTATTCTCTCTTCATTCCCCCGATAGACTGACAGATCAACAACATCAAGTAGTTTCAGCTCGTAGTCTTGCTTGTGTTCCTAATGCATCTACATTATACTCTTTTACCTAATAACTACTAATCACGCTATTATTCATGTATTACTAATGTATTACAAAGATGCTTCACTCAAAAACTGACATAATGTACATATGCTCATGTCCATCAAAAGATGAATAACTTTCTCTCTTCTGTGGAACATTAAAGACAATATTGTGATATTTTTTGTCCATTCATTAGAAGTCAGTGGACAGTTTCGGGTGAACTATCCCTAAAAACACTTGATTTAAAGTGCAGAAAGTATATTAGAAGAGATCTAAGTTTATATGAAATATTAACCAGAGCTTGCGTGTAAATCTGAAGAGTTATTAGTAATATTGTTGTGTGTTTATAGAAGTGTTTGATATGTCACATATGGAGTCAGAGACTGTCTTGTATTCTCTCTCTTCTACCATTAATATAATTAAAGATTTCTCAGTTCTCCTGTGTGTGCTTCTCTCTCCCTCTCCCTCTCTCTCTCTCTCTCTCTCTCTCTCTCTCTCTCTCTGTGTGTGTGTGTGTGTGTGTGTGTGTGTGCAGAGAAAAACATCTAATAGATGAAAAAAGAGATTGGAAAGCTATCAGCTGTTAGCCACTTAGCTAGCTAACAACTCGCTACCTAATCAGAGCAAACTAGCGCCAAAATCATACATCTGAATTTTTTGTCTTATTTCTAATACCTACATTTCCCATGATTCAATATAAATCCTTGGTGGCCAGGTGCCGCACTTTTCCGTGTTTTACTCATCCAGCCACAGCATCGGGACTCTCGAAAGCCTTCAAGCGATCGCCACTGTATGGAGCGGTTATGTACAATATATATATATATCATGGAGGGCAAGTCTGGGACAGATAATAATGGACAAAAGAAAACTGGGGGAACAAATAAGGATTGGAGCCTAAAATAAAAAAAAATGTCTCTCTCTCATTCAAATGGGCAGTTTGGGCGGCGAGATCAGTCGTACGTATCGAATCTTTACCTCTGTACTTACCGTCTGAGTCCCGAAGGAAGCCGTATCGTTGGTGGAGTCGCCGTGGGGCGAAGTGGTGACGTTCGGTCAGAAACTAGCTATAACTGAAGAAGACCTCGAGAAGACGCTGAAGTACATCAACTTCGTGCTCATTACTATATTGTGTTCAATAAAGATTGTTACTCCTTTGAAATGATCTCCGCCTCTGTCGTCTTTCTGTCGCGCACCTGTGGCGTCGGCTCCTCACGGTGGTGTCTGGTCAGAAGGCCGACCGGTCATCCGAGTCCACCCCGGCCTGCACCGGTCACACTTTTACTTACACTTGAGTAACATTTAGCAAGGGACATCTGTACTTTTACTCTGTCCGCCTCTGCTTTTAAAGACAAGTTTACAAAAGAAAAAACTGTTTCAATCTAAAACACACATGTATGTACTTAATTTCACTTAAACACTATCAAACCCCTATTTTCAAAATTAGAAAACATTATATTCCCTGTACAAAAGATCGAACTCACCATTCCAGAAAATACAGCAAGAGTTGGATAATGTCTAATTTCAACAATAGGTTTTGTTCCACAGGATCAAATCCATGATCTACAGTTACGGTCATTCATCAGACAACAGAGAACAGACTCTATTCAAATTAAAACATACTATGTTAAAATGAGGCAAAACAGCTAAAAACAAAAAAACAAAAACAAACACATGGTTCAATAGTATTGGACCAAAACTGAACATTGTGTCTTTTTAATGATGATTCAACTTATCAATTTACTATGGTAGAGACTCTCCAAGACAAAAAAAAATTAATACAGATAGGGAAGACATCTAAAATGTGTAAAATGTGTATTATCTGGGGCAGATAATAATGGATAAAATAAAACTGGGGGTAAGAAATAAGGATCGGAAGCTAAAATACAAATTTTCTCCAGATATCTCTGTCTCTCCGTCTCAGTCAAATGGGCAGTTTGGGCGGCCGTACCGGGCGAGATCGGGCGTAAATATGGCGGCGTTCGGTTTGGAGTGACGTAGGTGGCATCTATGAATAGCCTAGTAACATGTTTCATTTTGGCAAGACTGCTTGTCCTTTAATTCAACCCTTTTGACTTGATATCTATCATTGTCTAGCCTTGTCTGACTTCTGATGGGCGTAGGTTATAAAAGTGTGTAAAATCAACCTTGTATCACATTCTCCTACTGACAGCTCATCATGGCATCCGCATCCAAGAGAATCAAACTGGACGAGGACGACACGTGTGTAACCGGATACTTACACAATGTGTCCATAATTAAACAATCTGCATTAAAAAACAGATATTGCAGATTGACAACTACCACCAAGTTGCCGTTTTTTGCGTTGAAAAAAGAGATCTTTTCATCCGATCGCAAAACTGTAAATCGTCAGTTAAATTGACTGGAATTACAAAATAACCAAGTAAGTATTTAATCAACTTTCTAAGATTGTTTTATTTTCCTACAAACAGAAGTCTATATTTATGTCTAATTTCATCATGTCTTCCTTTGAGGTCGTTCAGGTGAGGGCTTGGACATAATATGTGGAAGAAGAACAAGCCTGACGGTGGTCAACGACCTGCAGTTTGACTACAGAGACCCTCCAAATAAATCTAAACGGACCGTGGAGGAGGATAAAAAATGTCCCAAAACCAACATGTAAGTTCTTAAATAAATTATATTATTTTAAATTATACTTAAAAACTGCTGGAACAGCTGGAAACTCAGAGCGCTCAGGTGGAGGACCTCACCGCAGGATAAAGCTACAGCTCTGGGATGATCAAATTGGACTGATTTGCTACGGAAAATGCGACCAGTTCACCTCTTTGACCACAAGGGAATTCGATGGAGAACTGTTTATTACAACAACGAAAGAAACCGAAATCCAAGAAATCCCATCATGGCCTGGGCTGGGTGACATAATTCCTCACAAAGAAACAGAGCAACCGGTAACAGCTGTGTCCGGCGTCATTAACCGGCCGAGGTCGCTGTGTCCCGCAACTGAGGGAATTGCACATTTTGAGTTTTCCCTAAAAACAAATTTCACCGTTGCCAAAAATGCAACATGCTGCAAAAAACGTCCATGTCCAAAGCCACTGCCACAGCACACATCACTCTTTTCTAAACTTGTAGAGGATGGACAGGACGTGGAGGAGGACTTCCTTATTAAAAGTGAACATTCAAAACGACAATGTCGTTGCAGTGGAAATTGTCGCTGAAAGTCCATGAAATCCTCTCCACAACCGCCCGCAGTCGCAGCACTAATGCCAGAAGGTATTCCAAAGCCTGCTTCTTAATTACTCTATATTAAACAAAGAAATTTTAATTAGAAAACTTCAATTGTTCAAAAATAATTTCAATAAACGTTAAAAATGTTAATATTAAACTTTCTATTTGGACCTAAACAAATAATGTTCATGTTAAAACTAAAGTTAAATTAAAATATTTGCATTGCATATAGCCTATAAATAGCATTTTTTGTTGTTGTATTTTTTATTTTTAATAGCCTATTTCTCAATAATTTTCTGTTCTTTGTGTTTAAATTTCATTTCTTTGTGTTGTATTGACATTATTATTGTTACTTTCTGTCACGGTGTGGTGCAGGCAGAAGAGCAGACAGAGTCCAGATTACAACGAAGAGAACTTTTACTATCAATATATATCACAAGAATACAGGTAGGAGCAACACAAGGTAACATGCAACATCGACCGACCAAGACTGAATGGAACTGAACTGAACTAAATACACAGAGGAATTAAGCTAAATGGGGTGAAAACAGGTGAAACAGATGAACAAAACGAGGAACAGGTGGCTAATGAGGGAGTGAGTTCAGGAGAGGAGACAAGAGGATCTTGGGAAGTGTAGTGCTGGAGACGCAGACTGTGACACTTTCTTTGTATTGTTGCTTATTTTCAATAAACTGTTCTGTTTTTGCAACTGTAATCTCGTGCTGACTTTTTATTACACATTACAGGCTACACAAATTTACTAGACTTCGACTAAATATTTAAAGCATAGCTACAATGAGCTACACATAGGCTTACACCTTAAGAAAAATAATATTTAAAAATACCATAGTCATTTAAAATAATTTTTGTATATTTGACAAATATATTTACTGATATTGCATTAACATTTCATTGTGGTATTCATAGTGAATTACACCTTTACAAAAAACGACTTCTTCCTCAACGCTATCATGAATGTTATCAAAGACATCTTGGAGTCAACACGTCAAAGAATTATACGCCTTAATAATTACTTTTCCTCTCAGACAATCCAGCCATTTTAGACTATTTCATATAATTAATCTAATAAATATCTCTTCTGACATTTGAATATAGAGAGACTGCAACACCTGAAATGTTTGTCAGATTAGAGAGACGTCCAAAATGTGTCCAGCTGGAGAACCTGATCTAGAGTTTCATGACTGAACTCCATATTTATTAGAAATGTTTACATTATTACACAAATACTGTCACAACGGCTGATTCTTCAGTTGTGATCATGGTTTCTCAATGATTTTTATTATTTTTTATATTTTAAGTATCACAACCTTCTTTAGATGTAAATGTGCAGCAGAAGTGAAAGTGTTCCAGTCCAGATGATGTGACCAATCAGAGAGTGAGACTGAAAGCCCATTTGCATTGTCAGGGTGGAGTGATTGTGATCTCTCAGAATAGAGCAGCTCTGTCTCCAGAGACCATGTTCAAACCCCAAGAGCTTTATTTGACATTTACTGCCACATCAACCTTCTGAAAAGCTCCTGCATCTTCATCTGTTAGTTGAATGATGTTGTCAGACACAAAGTGAACTTGTTGAGAAGCTTTATTGAATGTTGCAGCAAACACACACACACACACACACACTGTTTGAGTATTGAGTTGTAAAGCACTCCAGCTGCAGCACTAGACTCATGTGAATCCTGCCTGACACAGGACACTCAGATACGGCTCATCTTCAGGAGAGAAACATCAGCACTCAGAGCTCTTGTGGAACGAGACCTCATGAGGAGCTCCATCATGTGTTACTCTGCAGACGTACAGCTCTCCCTCTTCCCAGCGTGCTTTGCTGAGGGTCAGGACGCTACTGCGGCTGTAGCGGCCGTCCTGCTGGCTCTCTGCGCTGGTCAGAACCCCCTCGGTGACCTCTGACCCGTCCAGTGTCCAGCTCACCAGCGCCCCCTGTGGAGAGTAAGAGCTGAGCAGGCAGAGCAGTGCGGCTGAGTCTCCAGAGATCTGCAGAGAAGAGGGCGGCAGCAGAGACACTGAGGGCTTCACTGTGGGACCAGCTGCAGGAGACACACACACACACACACACACACACACCGCATCAATCAAACTAAACATCGGAATACACAGACTGCTTTAATTCAATTTAATTGGAAATCCCAAAATAAAGTTAGTTTGTACTCAAGTGAGATATTCAACAAATAAAAAACTCAATGTAAAAGTTTGACTCAAGCTCACATAAAAAGAAATGTATATAACTTATAAGAACTAGAAAACAACGTCTGTGTTTGTATTATAAAGCACTGAATTATAAGCACAACATGAGCAAAAGAGATTCAGTATCATTGACTGAACTACAGAAAGGAGCAACATTTACATTCTGATGTCAAATCTCTTTTTACATGTATGATTTCTACAATAAAAGATGAACTAAATATGAACTCAGTGTAGAAATAAATGAAGGAGAAACAAACCTGTAATAAACTGAATAAACTCATAGTGAGACGCAGTATAGAGATATGCTTAGAATTGTATTGATTTTTTTTTGTTTTTAATAATAACATTGTTTTAGATTAAATAATTATACAAAAATATCAGTTACACTTTAATTAAAGCCTTTATATATATTGAATTATAAAGGTATTTTAATGCATTAATTATGTATTGTTTTACTCATTATAATGCATGTATGATCTCATCAATAATTGTAACCAAGGCTTTAACACATTATAATATTATCTATTCATTTTCACACTCATGACAAACAACCAATTTCAGATGAAACAAGATATTTTAAGTATTATAATATATTTTAAATGTGGTTGCAATTATTTAAGAAAATATATACTGCATTATAACATACATTATGAAAACCTTTATAATGTATTGTACATTAAGGCTTGAAGTAAAGTTTTACCACAACATCTAATCATCAAAATAACCATTTATTATTAACAACTGTAAAACACTTTCTGAAATCTAAATTATATTTTTATTAGGTGATTAAATGGACAGACTTACTGATCACCAGTTTAGTTCCTCCACCGAATGTGTACCACAGTGATCCAATCTAATGAAACACTCGTACAAAAACCTCTATTCCACTCGAGTGAACACACACTCCAGCAGAGAGAGAGAAACAACACTTCAACACACTGATATTAGAAGATCCTCAGCTCTTCTCAACACTCACTCATTCAGATTTGACTAAATGCTTTCTGATATAACACTGTTTAAAGAAATATATGTGATGAGCTGTGACCTCTGAGGTGACCTTTGACCTCTTTGATCATGGATGATGATGTTGTGTTTGAGTTTCTCATAATGATGCTTCTGTTCTTCATATGCAGATCAATCATCATGATTGACAGAAAAACCTGCAGCTTCACACTTCAATCTTCAGTGAGAATCTGTTCAAATAATGACTTTATTGAATATTAGAGCCAAAGTCAATAGAAAGTGTGACAATGAAGATCTAAAAGTTGTGTTTTGCATGTTTTCATATTCAAGGTGTGTTATAAAAGTATCTGGACTGGTTCTGAATCTCATGAAACGTGAACAAGCTCTAATATGTGTCCATCTTTAACAGCCTGTTTCTTCTCCATCTGATGATTTCAGACACACATGAGGCTTCATGATAGATGGAGTGACACCATGAACTCTGATTAGAGATTCACAATCAGTCCTGATACTTTCTGAACACACTCATGATTCATGATCTTACTTTAGTGATGGCGCTTCATCTAGTGGAAGTGTAGCAGTGATGATGGTCACATGACTGAATATGGACACAGAGATGGACGTTCATCTGCACATCCTCAGTGTCTCAGGAGTCACAATAAACACACTAAATAAAGTCATGATTGTGTAACTCTAGTGTATATGAGTGTGTTGTCAGCACAAGCTGTTGTAAATCCTGCCCACTTCTTTGCATTGTCAGCACATGCTTCAGTGCTCTGAGAGTGTTTATAGTGCTGTGAGTTTAACACTTCATGACTGAGAGCAGAACACACACACTCTTCATCATCACACAAGACTAAACTACAACTATGAACAACATCGGCATCTTCATCTGGACTCTGTCTGTGTGTATTCAAGGTAAGACATTTAAAGAAATGTTCGCAATAAATGATTATAATATTATTAACAATGAGTGTTACAAAACAATGCTGCTTTTTCTCACAGGTTTCAGTGGACAGGTGACTGTGACTCAGACTCCTTCTGTAAAAACGGTTACAATTGGTGAATCAGTCTCGATAAACTGCAAAACAAACACGGTAGTGAGCAATGGCTGTCCAGGTTCATATACTTGTATGCACTGGTACTCAAAGAAACCTGGAGAAGATCCTAAACTCCTCATATATGATGCATCAACCCTTAATACTGGAACTCCATCTAGATTCAGTGGCAGTGGATCCAGAACTGATTTTACTCTGAGCATCAGTGGAGTCCAGACTGAAGATACAGGAGATTATTACTGTCTGAGTTATCACTGGATCTACAGTCAGAATGTGTTCACACAGTGATAAAGAGTCGTACAAAAACCTCTGTCAGTCAGACGTCACAGTGACTGCACTGATACAGCTGAGAGAAACTGCAGCTGCTGATGGAGGATCACACACTACACAATTGTAAGAAAAAAATGATGTGTAAATGAAGTT